TGTTGATACCAAACAAATAAGTATTTAAAATACCAGGAAATACTTTACAGGAATTAAAGTTATTTAAAAATAATAATAAATATAAGTAAACACAATGTTAGAATAATAATTTATAATTAAGTAGTGGCGTAAGGAATAAAAATCCCTAACCAGATATGTTTTAAAGAAACACTCCTAACAAAAACAAGTCAAGTTACAATACAATTAATAATAAATTATTAATATATCTTTATAATATTGAACTTCATAATAAGTTGCAATAATTATTTTATTCTAGTGCAAAAATTGATAGGTGTGTCGAGTTACAAAATGAAATAAATATTATTTAGAATATCAACGTAGTATCTTATTTACTCACCGATATCATTAAACGCCTTGCTATTTCAGTTATTGTTAGTTATGTTTTGCTCATGCAAAACAATGGTTTCAGCCTTTTTAAATGTTGATAGGTGTTGGAACATCTTGTAAAAATAAAAATAACTTTGCACACGAATATAAGTAGTGTAGCAATAAACTATGAAATCCTCATAAATTGACAACTAAGAACGCAATTATTTTGTAAGTCGGGTGATTTGAAAAACATGTTTTAAATAGTCGGTAGTTACTTCATAAGCGTGTAAAATAAAATGACTCGAGATTTCTATGGTCGCCACAAACATTGCAAATATACTCAGGTATCGAACCATTAAGAAATCACAGTTAATTACTTTTTTACTGTTTTTATCTTATTTAAGTTGGTTGAAATGCATGAAGCAAATGAGATTATTCTAAATAATAAATAACTAGAACTAAAATATAAATAAAAGATATTATAGGTATAAATAAATCTAAAGTATTTACTATTAAAATTAACATAAGATTTAGAACAATAGGAAAGGAAAAAAAAGAAAAGATTTAATTGTTTCTAATTTCAAATTTCAAATATTTGATAAATTAATTCTAAAACAACATGTGAATGTTGGAATCGATCCGGCGGCACTTTACTTGACAATTGGAGGCGATAACCATTGCGCCAAGCGCGCTGTAGATGAGATCATCGAAATATTTTATATCATTCAGTAACATAAAATTACAATGAGAAAGCACTATATTTATATGGGTATTGTATAGCTCGATCGTTCATTATTTTTGATTTCGATTTATTCAAAGTTTGTTATGAGTAATTTTATCTTTACCCTCGTTTTTATTTAAACTTATTTACTAAATTATTGCGTATACCGACACAAAAATGATTTTTAAATACCAAGATGTGTGTGATAGACGAATGTTTCTATACATATCTATTGATATGAAATTACCCACACATGTATATTGTGTAAATGATAGTTGTGTCGATGTGTAGCGCCGCTAACTAATTAGCGGTGCTTTGTGTACAAGTAAATACTGATTAAAATTGTAATGACAATGTTTGTTATGCTAACAGGAGACGAAGAAGCCATTGGAATACGAATCAGTTGGCAAGTCATTACGGCCATAATGCATGAGCTTCGATTGTGATGTCCACACGTGTGGGTAAGCCTTACATGGTTATCTACGAACACGGATTACACACGTGTTGTTATGTGTAGACTGATGACTTGTCGATTCGTGAGTTCCTGCCTTACAAGGTTAAAACTTAATAAAGGGTGATCTATAGTAACCCTTTTGGTATTCTCTTCGAACATCTGATGCATAACAGTATAATTGCTTTGAAAGGTGCATCCGAATAAAATTACTCGCCGCACATTAATTAGTAACAAAAAATACGAAAAAGCATCTTTCGTCACAATAGCCAGTTATAAATAAAAAGTTCATGGATAATTTTGACGTTATACTGAAGTTTTGAAGTCAGAAAGACCGGGCATCCAATAAAACGTGATTTTATTCCTTTGTTTACTTTCACGAACGTCAAAACTGAAACGGAAACTTTTGTCATTATCTATTTTACGTAAAATCGTAACCGATTTAATGAAAAACTTAATATTCAGAGCACATAATATTAAGGCTTTGTATTGGGTCAAGTGTCCCATACACGTCAATACAATATTCAAAGAGACTGGCAGGATGCCTCTCTCTTTGTGAGACAAACCTGCTCTAGTTAGTTGAGTTTATTTTTAATTCTACCTGGTACAGGTGTTCTTTTGTAAGGTCGCCGTGCATCCCCCGCCCGTTTGTTTGGAAACACATGTTTTTTGTGTTGCCGGCTCACATTGTCGGGACAGAGCGGCGAAACCTTTTCGTAACTTTATTATGTTTCGAAACATCGATCTCACCTAGTCTCGAACGATTATAAACGCAAAATTATCTTGATCCGTTAATCAAAACTCGTCACAATTACTTAATTGATTGACATTGCAAAGATTTAGATTTTTGGGTTGATCAATTTGACAGTAATTAAAAAGGAAATCGCCGTCCCCGATACTAGTTAATAAATCAAGGACCGTCTTTATAATCGCAGCGGTTGTTTAATCACGCGCACGAATTCTTAATTTCAAATGTAATACGAAGAATGCCAGTAGAAAAGAATTTCAGTTAAATTGCCGACACAGTTTGCTCGAAGGATTAGTTACAACGTCGCGTGACTGACAGACCGCAGAGTTGCAACGACAAAACGCCGCCATGTCAGAAATATCTGGCATTGGACGCGGTCGTGATGCGAGCCTGCCGCACTAAACTGACTGGAAAATTCGCAAAACCAACGCGGTGCAATGAAAACAGCGTTTGTATGGCTTTTGTTTTAAAAAATAATTCTAGGAAATACATTCCGAGTTTAAAAAGTTAGTTCGCTCACTCCGTTTACTGTTGGTAAATCATGGTTAGCAACCAAAATTCTATTTTCAAATATCGAATGCTAGAGTTCGTCTGGTAACTATTTTGGTAGCCAAATGTTTCTTTTTTTTTTTTTGTTTGACCGAAACTGTCTGTTGTTGCATGCAAAAAGATTGGTTAACAAAGGATTTAAAACGACGCAGGTACTTTTTGGACTATGTGTGACTCAGTAGTAACCCATCCCAATCTATCAGTGGTTGCGATTACGATTTCTGAATCATTTTCGAAGTAAAACGTTGCACAGTTATTTACTAAAGAAGCGACGACGTGCAAAAATGTCTATTAGAAGGATCATCTCTATTAATACGGTATAGAAGCGAGATATATTATTATGCCTGGAATCATAATTAGTTCAAGCTCCAGTAAGTAATCAGAAGGCAGTAAATTAACGTTCCGTGCTTTACATGTTTTTAGAACGAGCAAGATAAATCTGCACGAGCAGTTATTAAACTGATCGGCAGATAAAAATAATGAATTTAACTAGCCAGGTACAGAGCATTTTATTTATACAAATGAGCTATGAATCAGATTACTGTGGCAGTAGGAAACAGTTACATAAAGACTAAAATTATGTAAAAACTTTTTCATTGTCTTTGCTTCGATGACTTAGATAAATTAAGGAAAATATTTTGTTGAAAACTTCATCGTAAATTGCTCATTAAAAACCTTAATTGACTCGGAAACTTTCACGGTAACTTCTGCCAAAATAGGCAACTTCTAAAACCAGTTTCAAATTAAAAATTACCGCTATATATACAAAAAGTTATGACGGTTAGCAATATTCAGGAGTCGTAGAAAGAGGACATGTTACTTTTAACGGCTCTTAGTTAATGCTTATGGATTTTACAAACAAAAACAATGGATGAAACTGTGCTGTTTCAATGACGTGCGCGTGCGCGGCTAAGTACCGTTGTACGCGCGTAGTAACAATATGCTCCAATAGAACATTTATCTTATCGGTAACCTGCATATCTTACAATATCTAGGTTTCACCTGAATAAATACTGAACACCTATATTGAGAAGACTTGAATTTATAAAGTTAGACTGTCAAATATGGCTGTAAGTACTATCTGGCGTTAAATTATAAATAATTATTAATTCATTGTAGGTAGTACTTACATTCAGGCAGTAGGTATAAACTAATATAACAAATAGCTAACCTATCATTACGTTATTGACACTGCAGGCGGTAGGTAACCTAGATAAAACAATTACGCATACATTTTGATAATAAACGTAGATGAAACGAAGCGTTTCTGATTAATGTAGCGAACGAATAACATTACTTCTTCACACATAGGTGATGAAGCCGTTAACTTTGAGATTCGCGAGAAAATTTCGACAGTCTGTTAACTCGGAGCGGCTCAATCAACAAATTGTAGGTCAGTGTTTTGTTACTGGTAGAAGTTGGAGGTTTTAATGAGTATTTATTGTTATCTTTTAAAACAATACAACGTCGCAGTGACATTGGTTCGTATTTCACTGGTTACAGATCTTAACCGTGTTTTGGATGTACGCGGATGCGTGTTGACGTAAATAACCACAGTGTAACATCACATGGCGGGAGACCGACTTACTGAATGTATCGGGAAGTTTAAAAATAGAAGACGATCGGGTGAGCGACTCGAGACGCGGGCTACAGATAACGTTTATCGTCCGAAATGCTGCAAGCAAAAATAATAACGCATCATAATTATCAGTATTCCAGACCGATTTCCACGAACGCTTAATCCATTTAGGAATAATAAATGTACAGTCATATGCACACGGTTTTAACGAACCGTGTAATAATACCGCTATCGCGAGTGGTGTTACACTGGGTTGGTAAATAGGGGTGCGGGTGTGGCCAGCTGATCGGGATCGCACGCACACAGCTGCAAATGTTTACGAAAAATGTTACACAGACCGCTTATTGATTTTATCCGCCGTTGAATGTGCTTCAGAAACAGGTGTTCGCGTCCTGCGATTGTTTTTTATATGGTAATACAACAAACGACTTCCTAAACAAACCTAGCATTATGCATTTACCACTGTATAATAACTATTCATTTTGTTATTGATCGTAGGTATGTCCCATAGTCATGACATGTATCAGTTGGGATTAACGGGGTGAATGCTCGTCTCATGTCAGTGTTTTCCAATGTTTTGGACTAGAAACAAAATGTTTATAATGACACGATATACAGTTACTTAGGTGCCTACCTTGATTCCAGAGCGTCCCTGCTGTTTGAGCAGCACGTTCTCCGGCTTCATGTCGCAATGTATGATCCGGTTCTTGTTGAGCGCGTGCAGGCACTGTAGCAGGCTGTGCGAGAACTTGCGGACGAGCTGCAACGAGAACCCTTGGAACTTGTTCTTCTTTATCAGCTCGTACAAGTTGATCGACAATAACTCAAATGTGATACATGTGTGGTTCCTGAACGTGAACGAGTCAAACATATGGATCACGTTCATCGTGTTGTCTTTGTCCTGCTCGCGGAGGTGCTCCAGTATACGGATCTCCTCCTGCGCCTGGCGGTGGAACCGCTTTTCGTTGCGCACCATCTTCAGTGCGACGTTCTCGCGCTTCTTGTGGTCGTACGCTTTGACCACCTGACCGAAGCTACCCTTGCCGATCACCTTGAGCACCTCGTATCTGTATGCTATGTGATCGTGCGGTATGTGGATGTATGAGCCTTGCTCGTTGTCGTAATCGCAATTGTTCGGAAACCCGACCAATCCGGGACGTTTCTTGGCGTTCGCGCCTATAAAGTACACTTGGGGGTAATCAAATATTTCACGGTGTTCATAGGGGGTGAGCTTGCTCATGTAGAGCTTCATGACCTGCTCAGGGCTCGCGGCCGCCGCTGGTGGCCGCTTGTCGGGCGGCTGCGCGTTGTTGGCCGGTGGTGCGGGCGGGCCCGGCTCGAGCGGCGGCAGCGCCCCGTCCCGGAGCAACGCGCGCCCGAACGCGTGCGCGCTCCCTAGAGGCATGTCGCCGGTCATGGCCGCGCGGCCGCCGCCACCTCCGCGCACCTCGCTCGCCGTGGCCGAGTCGACCCACGCGCGCTCGCACACACCACTGCACCTCACTGCACTTGCACTAGATGACGGCGCCACTCTGGCACACTGCACGACATTTCACATCGACCGGGAGGAGCGAGACCCACGCTTCCACTTATGCGGGCACATTCCGTCTCGGCAACGATACGATGGAGCCGCGTTCGCAGATGATACCGTGCGACGCGAACGTGAAACGCAAACAAAGACCCCTTCCTTGCGGGCCGACCCGACGACAAAACCAGAGAGAAAATAGAAACGGTCGCCTAAGTCATTGAACCGTTCGGTCGCATTGACTCCACGAGTGCAAGTGAGATAGAATGACTTTCAATAGTATACTTGTCTGCCGCTAGATGTCGTTTGCGAGCAGCACAGACTAAACAAAGAGTCATTATTAGAGACCCGATTTATTTGAAGAATGTAGTATTTTATTCAGGTCACAAAATAAGCTACAAAACGTACTTACGTACCACATTAATATGTACAAATAATATGATTAGATCTTACTAACATGTGCTTTTCACCATATCATTCATCATTCATGGATATGTAATAAGAACTTACTTGTAATCATAATTAAAATAAATTGAATAATATGATTAGCCTATTGCCTTAATTTCAAACCTACCTACATATTTTTATTTTAAATAAAATTATCGACAACAATTTCTATAGTTATCCTTTTCCTGCTGTGACTTTTAAAAAACTCTTCAAATGTTTTTTTGTACCTTAGGTACTCCTTTGTTTCCGTCAATTTTTTTAAATAAAGCAATAGATTTAGTCATTTACATATTATCAATAACAGTTTAGTTATAAAATAGATACAGTTATAATGGTATGCCACAAAATAGTTTAACAATTACTGAATTCCCAATCTTATGTCACATTATTGGTAGGTTTAATTCATAATTTAGTTCAAAACTTACCTTTACAAACAAAACATGGCAATGTTTTCTGGTTTCTGGGTCTTTCATCATACTTTGTCTTTGTCTATGGTTGAATCGAACGCGTCGCCATCTATCGAAAAAAAATAAGACCAGCCCATCCATCCAACCAAACCACACGTCTTTTTCTATTCCGTTGTTTTCTGTCATTTACTACAATCGCAATCAGAATTAATAGGTACTGTGGTGTATATTTTATGAAGAAGACCGTACTTTAATATAAGTGTAACAAAGAAATGTAATTTAGACTCTAAAGAAGATCTTGGTGGTAACAAAATGTAAGTAAAGTGTTTCGATATTTGAACAATCATTTACTTAAGTGCTGTGATTTATTTTTTTGCTTTTAATAAATGATTAATTCTTCTTTACAACCTGCCGGAATATTTCAATTCAAATTATTACTCGTTGTAAAGTTAAAAGTCTGAAACATAAGTAATTAGAAAATGCCGACAGCCGATTCGCAATCTTTCTGATTCGATTTGAATTAGGTTTGAAATAAAAAATGTTGCTATTTTTCGGGGCATGATTATGTTATAGATACTAAATGTATTATCATTAGTATGTGATATGAATCGTTTGAACACCGTATGCGTCACACAAACATGAACCTTTCAAGGTAATGTTAGGGCACTAGTATGGGCTGCTTATTGTGATATTGCATTATACTTCCTTGTTCGACGACTCGACGACTTACCCAAGGCCTGTGTATGTGTGCGTATCATTTGCGTGATGCTTGGACGGTTGCCAGTGCATCAAACAACTGCTGCACTTAAGTGTGGGGAAATGAGATAAAATACATAATCTTTTTATTCTTTGTTTTTTGTGCCCATCGGAGGTGAGTCAGTTGCTTATTCTGTATCAGGTGGTAAATGTATACATAAACTTTGAATAACAATGAACTGAATCATGGAATTAAATGCTGGCTAAGAACAAATGTTTTCATTGATAAATGATAATCTAACAGCAAGGAGGTTTCAACTAACTTGACATGTAAATATTTATGCGAATGTTCGTTTATTCTAATTAGAGCTCTAATCTAACAAGGCTTCTTTAAAATTAATATTTAACAAGATGCTTTAATTACTTCCTTATTTAATTGTTGTCATCATGACAGAAACTTGTACCATGGCCATATTTTGTAATAAGAATTATTCATTCTCCACCCTCTACATTGTTGCCGGCCAGACTCACAAAAAAAGTAACAAAACCTACAGCTAATTACAAACCTCCTTGTGACTTGATGAACTCTTTAAATGTTATGAGTCATGGCGCTTATTATCTGTGGTATTCTAAGCATGTACTGGGTCCTTCTGTTTTGTTGATAACTTTATATTGTGCCTACTTAGTTTAGGACATGTTATTGTTATGACTAGATATTTATTTTAGCAAGTTATGGACCAGACATAATAAGGAAGATATTTATTTAACTCGTCGAGTACCGGTTTTATAGACACAATTAAAGAACAATAGGTCGCGGTCACCGGTGACCGCTTGGTGTTTGACAGTTTAATGCATCATGTACACATAGTGCATAGGCATTTAATTCATTATCTACGTTTATACCTTTGAGTGGTTCATAGACAGGATGTTTAGTTAAAATAAACATTTATTCAGTACCAATAAACAGAAAAAACAACATGTACCTAATGTTTTAATGTAGTTTTTATGACATTAGGTACTTTAAAATTGAAGATTATCAAACAACTTACCGCTAGCCTTGAAAATGATTAAAATTGCGAAGAAATCATGACAAATCACATTATTGTGATATAACTAAGTAAGTAATTTTAAAAATTTCATAGAAATATTCTTTTCTGATTAAGTAGGTAATAAATAAAACTATGAGTAATATTTACAAAAAAATATTTTGTCTGTCAGACAACTGAAGAAAAGTTGGTGTTACAATGATGATACACCTCTGCCTACCCCTTCATGAATTATAAGACTAGATGTTATGTTGATCTAATTTAATTCATCAAATGTATTTTCAGAATGAAATAAGAACAAATAATACCAGTACCAACATACATTATGTAATGTTTCATTTCTTGCATAATCTTGAATTTACTTTAGTCTTAAATTCTAAAGGTTAACAAAGTATGAGTCACTAAACTCATAAACATAAAACCAGTTTTTTATAATGAATTCACAATTTCATAATGTTATCATCATTATCTCTTTGTGCTTGTAAAGGAGCCATTGTAATTGTCTAAACAGCCTTGACAAATAATATAAAAAGTTTGTATGCTTTCTGAATTTGAAGTTTCTATGAATGCAGGTACTCGGTTAGTCAGTTTTGAAGGCACAATAAATAGTTATAAGATATACATTATTCATTGTAGACCTAGGGCATGGATCCTTTAGCAATATCGAATTTGAATTTCATACATATAAAATACAGGCCAGCAAAGTGGTCCACCACATTTATTTTTTCATACTTACAGTTAAAAAACATCTTCAGTCTAACTTTTAGCTACGAATATTTATCTAAATTTACAATATACAGGCAGAAAAATTGCGTAGGAAAAATGTCTCAGCAAAATTTGGCTCACATCCATTTTGAATACCATGTTTCATTTCTATAATTTCTCTTATTATAACATTGGATGTTGGATGGTATGACGTAGGTATATAATAGATTTAATTAACTACTTCCCAGTGAGAATTGGTTTATGTAGTTGTTACAATTTTGTGTTGCTATATGCACAATAGACTATAGCCAATGTTGACGTCTATTGACGTGACCAGACGCGACCGACGCGAAGTTGTGACGTACTTTTGCTGGTTACTTACTTTTATCCTAACTTTCTTAGATAACATGGTATAAGAAAGAAAGAAAGAAAGAGGTAGAAAAAACAGTTTATTTGCATCGTTACAGAATACAAAATCACGAAATTACATGTATTATATATTTGTCCCCTGAAAGTCGAGTAGTATATAATATAAACTCAGTTAATGTAACTAATATTTTGCAATAAAAGCCGAATTTAAAAATTCTCAGTGGTAGCACGGAGTCTACAATTGTGCCCGGAATATGGCAATACCAGCTCGCCCTCTATTACATGGGACTCATAAAATAAATAGTGAAAAGTGGATGGCACATTGTACAGTGGCATTAAGCGTCGTAATGTGCACCTCTGCCTACCCCTTCGGGGATAAAAGGCTTGATGATATGTGTAAAAGCCGAATCTATTGCCATGGTCTCACAGCAGATTCGACGAAACTGACTTTCACGGCATCTTTCAAATACTTAAAATCGTCTACATTCAGCATAGTCAGATAGTTTTTGGATTTATAAATACTACGAATATTCAGTAGTCTACAGGTCAACCATAGAAACATTGAGTTTATCGATTCATAAATTCTCAGTAGTTATAGAATAACATGAAGTCTGCAAGTTAATATTTGCTCGTTTTTACTGCAGTATGTTCACCCTGTGTCTATTGAATGCTAGGTACTAGTCACATAAGCCTCTAGCCTCTACCGATTCTGAGAAACCAAGATGAATACAGTTATATTGTTTTCTAGCTTGAATAATACGTTGTCTACACAATAACTTATGAAATCAACTTTGAAATAGACCTTTGAGGTTAAAGGTTACGGTTAGGCGTAGCGTAGACGTACAGAAAGTACTTTAAACTTATGTATTTGTCTTTGGGTCGTACAGCGCACTAGTACAATTGTTTTCGTCTGCTTACCAAACTGTATTAACTATTTACATCTATTTTAAGTTTGAAAGGACTAACTAGACTAAATGTATTCCTTTTTTTTGATGGGGGAAAGTCATTCAATGACTTTTCCCGCCCGGGTGAGGTGGGAGGGAGTGTCAGACTCTTACTGACTAAAAACCACCCCGTTCCTACTCTTGCACTTCGAGCCCGGCAACCCGTTGAGTCTTCCGCGGCTCCATTAAATGTAGTAATGTAGTAGCCTAGTTGTTCAATCGGTGTTTTGGCATTAAAATTAAATGTTGAAAAAGATTGAAGCGTCATTTTGGCGATATTTGTGAATAGCATAACTGTCGATCCTCGATATCACGAAATTCCACTTTGGAAACGACAATACGTGGATTTGATGGCTCCTCAATAGAACTAGTATATCTAGAAATACTAGAATAGTTGTATAAACTAGATAAATTCCAGTACGAGAGCTCTGGATTCGCAGCCATCAAATAGCTTACGAGTTGCGGTAGATACAGGCTAGCTATTAAAGCCAGACTTAAACCCTCCACTAGTGCTTGCCACTGTGAGAATCCCTGGATTAAATAAATAGCCTCTGAATTGAAATAAACTTTACACTATACAATACAGATTTCAATATAAAAAGATACGTAGATTCTTTATTTTTACTGTCTATTAATTTAATTTTAAAAGTCTACCTTTCTATCACCTTTTATTCTTTAGTGTATACTGAGGACTTATATCATTAAAAGGGCTACACTGCACGTCCATTGTGCAAGCTATGCTTCGTTATCTTTCACTGTCTGACTCATTTATTATTATTGTTAAAATTCATGTGTCTACGTGCTTATGTACTTACTCGTCGCACGTACTTAGAATCCGGTAATTTAACAGTATTGCAGCTTATTGTGAAGTCGGATTAGATAAGAATGGTCACCAATATGTATTCTGTACTTATGTATAGTACATAATTATCTAATTCGAATAAATGGAGCGATAAAAATTGATAACGAGTACAGACGACTAAATATGGCGTGGTATGAACTAGGTCAAGTCGTAAATTCAGTTCACATAAACTCTAGAAAGTGTTTTCATAAAAGCACTAAAACGATACTAGGTAATTTAAAAAAATATATAACTACTGGTCTATGTATAGGTAGTTTGAATTTACTCAACTGTGCCGTGTTCATATAATTTTAGTGGAATTTTCAGTTAGGTACTTGCAGTATATTTGCTAATTGCAGTACCTAAATGAGGAATATTAAAATACACATTTAATAAGAACACTAAAAGAAATAATAACCGAAACTGAAGGATTATTAGCATTATTGTGCTAACAAGTTTGATCTATCACATAGTATTCTATATTATCGTAATCAGTTCAGTAGTTATTGCGAGTCTGAGTAACAAACAATCACATTTTGAAATCAGGTATTTTTCCGAGAACTAAACACGCACGCTCTTATAAAATGAATGAAAGAACAATAAAAATATTACGTACCCATCTAAAATGTATTTTAATTAACGTCAATTCTTTTTATATCTTAAGTTGAGTACGCACGTGAATCGAGCTAGACGGATATTATAAAAATTATCGA